TGCTGTTCTATTTATTTATTTATTTATTTTAAAATTTATTTTCGGCTGTGTTGGGTCTTTGTTGCGGCGTGTGGGCTTATTGTGGTAGCTTCTCTTTGTTGCGGAGCACGGGCTCTAGAGCGTAGGCTCAGTAGTTGTGGTGCACGGGCTTAGTTGCTCTGCGGCATGTGGGATCTTCCTGGACCAGGGATTGAACCCGATTCCCCTGCACTGGCAGGCGGATTCTTAACCACTGCACCACCAGGGAAATCCTCTTTGCTGTTTTAAAAGAGGGAAGGGAACTTGATTGTGTGCCTGGATGAGAGTTGCTGGAATGAGTTCTGTGTTCTCAGATATGAGAGCTCAGAACTTAAATGACCTGCCAGGAAGCTGTTTTGACCTGGAACTAAGGCCTGCTATTAGTCATGCTAGAGACCCAGTGAATGGAACAGCTAAAACAAACGACAAACAAACTCCCAACCTCCCCAAAAACCTTTGGGAAGGTGGGAACTGGAGAACCCCAGAAGAAAGATAGGGAATAACTGCTATACGGGAAACTAATTTTCCCGATAGGCATTTTGTTAAAAACAAAAAAATAAAACAAAGCAAAGAAAGAAAGGACCGCCAAGCCTGACTCCTTTTCATCCTTCCAAAGTCATCCTTTCTTCAAAAGCTTCAGCTTCACAGTTCTCTGACTGCAGATTCTAACCAAGGTGGGCAGAGCAAAGCTCATACTCCAAGGGAATGAAACTGGAAACCAGGGCTGCGAGTCACCAGAGGCAAGCATTGGCAGAGAAGCACGTCAGGGTCCAGTGACAGGCTAAGTTCTGGGCTTGCACAGGTAAGCTCTCCATGTAGCCGTGGCAGACCCCTTCTCAACTTTGACAGCCATTGACATTACCTCAAAGTGGATACACATTGAGCACAGCACAGTCTCAAGTGGGCATGGGTTTTTATTCTCAGTGCGCAACAGTTTGGTTTCTGCTCAACAGCAACAGCTTTATTGGTTCCAAAAAAATTACCCTTTTTTTTCCTTCTTTTAAAACTCCCCTTCCATTCTTCCTTTCTCAATGGAACAACATATTTGAATTTTAGATTTGCCAGTTTATAGCATTTTTTTCCTAAGAACCCTATAAATACATGCAAAACATTGTACAGAGAGCTTAAATAATATCAAAATGCAAATACAGATTGGGTGCACGGTTTAGCTGAACTGCAGATTACGGCAACGCACACTGGGGTACACATTGCTTTGATATCACCATTTGTTTGTTTATGTCATGCAGATCACAACAGTCAATCTTTTGTTTTGTTTTTTTTTCCTTTTATACAAAAATACCAGTGCCTGTTATACTAGTTACTGAAAAAAAAAAAAAGAAGAAACTCAAAATTCTTATCTGCTGATTTGAAAAGAACACAGATAGATTTGTTGGCACATATATATGGCATATTCACATATGGCATATATACATATGGGGAGAAACATGTATGAAAGGCCAATTCAGTCACGGGGTGCTCACTTCCCTCCGTCTCTCCTAATCAGGAGGAAAGTGGACAGCAGGCCCAACAGCAGGGCTGGAAAGGCAAAGGACAGCACTGAGCTAAATGGAAGGGTGTCTGGTCTTTTCTGAGGAAGAGCCTGGAATGGCTTAAGAAGAGCAGACATTTATAAGTGCCCCACCCCCACCACAGTAGTGGGGTGGTCCTCAGATATGGAGAGTGAGGAAGAGTGAGGAAGTACACACTTCGCGATGGCATCATGGGCTGCTTCAATCATTAGGCAGGGAAAGGAGGAAAGAAAGGAAGTGACGTGTTCGGAGGTTTCAGGGCACATGTGAGCTTGCCACACCCCTCTGGTTTTTGGCAGTAAGGTCATCACTCAGATTTAAGTGTGCAGACTCCCCCCTCTGGAGCTCAACGGGAAGAAGGAACACAAACTCTAAAGAACTCACAAGTGCTGGCGGGATTTCTCGGTGGTCTCTCTACAACCTTTAGAGATGGAGAGTCATTTCAGAGGGCAGAGGGCACCTGTGGGAAGGATCTAGTCAAGACTGTCACCCAGGCTAGAACCAGCCTTTATTTTTCCATTTAGAGCTCTACCTCCCAACTAATATATTACGTGAAACTTTTCTAGGGGAGGGAAGGAAGTCTCAAATCAAATCCTTGCACAAAAAGTCGCTAATGGAAAACTCCAGGGGAAACAGGAGGTGAAAAGAACCATAAAAAAGGCAAACCCCAAATCAGAGAGTATCCTTGCAGCCCAGTGTCTTGGGTACCACTCTGCTAGCTGTTCTTCAAGAAATATAAATCTACCTGAGGTCCCTGATCCTGACCACTAGTTCCTGGTACCCATTTCCATGGGGGTGCACACTCATTTCCTGCTGGCTGGCCCTTCTTCCTGGATGCCTTCCTTCCCATCCGTAATCCACTGTCCATTCTCCTAGGTTTATCAAGAGAGGAATCTAGGATAATATTTCCCCCTTTTCCCCATCAGACCCTTTTCAAATCCAAAGCACCATTTTTGGGGAAAGCTTTATTAACTTATGCCATATTTATTCACTGCCAGTTGGATCACTGAAACTGAACAGGAAAAAAAAAATTTATATAAAAAATATATGCACATAAATAGTTAAACTTAATTCCATATCAACAAATTTATATTAAAAACATTCTAGAACCCAACAAATTTTTTTTTCCCCTAAGTATAAAGATGGCTGTTTGGAGAAAGGAAGTTTGGTGCATTGGTTTTAAAACCAATTGCAAGTATACTATAAGTCACCTGCCATGTCTAACAGCTGGTATGTGCTCCCTTCCACAGGGTTACATGACAGCACTTTATTTTAAATCCTTTAAACAAAATACATATGGCTGACTCAAAAAATATCAGTTTCTCATCTAAAGAAAACTATATTTCGTTGCATAATATTTCTTTTTTTTTTTTTTTTTTTAAAGATTTTTAATTTTAATTTTATCTTTATTTATTTATTTGTGCTGTGTTGGGTCTTCGTTTCTGTGCGAGGGCTTTCTCTAGTTGTGGCAAGTGGGGGCCACTCTTCATCGCGGTGCGCGGGCCTCTCACTATCGCGGCCTCTCCCGTTGCGGAGCACAGGCTCCAGACGCGCAGGCTCAGTAGTTGTGGCTCACGGGCCTAGCTGCTCCGTGGCATGTGGGATCTTCCCAGACCAGGGCTCGAACCCATGTCCCCTGCATCGGCAGGCGGACTCTCAACCACTGCGCCACCAGGGAAGCCCCCTCGTTGCATAATATTTCTATATTTTCTCTCCTACTATGGAAACTAGAATACACACAAAATCCCCATTGACTTTAAACAAGTAGACACAAGCCCTCACAAGTAACCTGTCAGGCACCATGAGAGTCTTTTGGGAGCAG